GTCCTACGAGTCTGATCATTGCTATGACGTTTTACAGGTTCCTCTCATTTGTCACAACAATACAGTGAAATATGATTTGCTGCTGTTCTAGGTGAATCTCCACTTAGTAGTTTACACTTTTGATTGTTGAACTTGTAGAAATACTCTGTAATCAATTGTAACTTCCTCGATAAGTGTTGCTGGCCTATAGGTATAAACCAACTAATTTGACAACTAAATAGGCTGCCTGTTAACTGCTTGTAAAGTGTCCTGTTTTCCTTGATGGCTAGTAGGTGGCTAGCCAAAAAAAAGGTATAACATACACAGATTCGTCAAATCTTCAGTGTTTCACTTAAAGCTACTGTCACACTAATGATTTGAAACGTTTTTCTAAAGAAACATTCACGCCGATTGCTTTTGCATGAATTTCTTTGTTATAGACTGGCGGTGATGATTTTAAGTACGAAGGCTTTTGCTCTTCAGTTGAGTTAGGCGGTTGTTTTCCAGGGAGGGTTGACTCTTGTCCTCGGTATGGGAATTAGACAGGAGCGCAGGAGTACTGATTACTTTCTGTATGTTGGCGACAGCCATTACGTACAAATATTGCCATTTCTACTACGTTTCATTGTGTGTTGTGAGTGAGCACTGGGGTCCCTGGAACTGGAGAGGCTTGATGAATATAATTTAATACGTGAGTCACTGCAAAGTCAGACTCAAAGGAAGAAGTAACTCAATATCATCTTGGCAAGGCAAACCTTTTGATTGTTTGAGCATGACCCTGGTGCTTGTGGGTGTTTGTCCTGAGACTTTGAAGCTATACTGGATCTAACTTCTCTTTCTCACAGATTTCTATCTTCTGTTTTGGAGAGAGCACCTTATGTGTGAAAAATCGCTTATTTCTAAGAAGTTAATAAAAACTGAAGTGTCCTCCTGTTTTGCAGCCGTATCTCTCGGTCCTGGTGTATGTGCTTGTGTATTTGAGGCTGAGTGTCATACCCACATTATTTGCTGTGTGGTCTTTGATTTGTAGAGAGAGAATGCGACCCGTAGTGATAGGCACAATGGATGAGCTTATGAGCTGTATTCATGTGAATTTAGCATTTTGTACTGCTTTATCAAATATAGCTCTTGGGCTTATCCGTGGAAGTGTGAATTTTCTAATCCTTTGTTTGTTTGTCTAATATTAGAAATTTAAATCATAATATTCCATTCCTGTTTCGTGTAATTTGGTCAATGCGTGTCATTTGGAGGCAGCTTGCGAATGAGTACATTTGCTGGGTGGTAAGCCTTTGATTGTCGAGGAAACATGTATGTCGGCCATTGCTTTGGATAATTTGTGAGCTTCTTGAATTTTGGCTTTGAGGTCTGTTTTGACAAATAGGAATACGTGGCCTTGAAGCCGCGCGGACCTAGGCTGAATGTTTTCCTCTATCCTCTGTCAGTGTCTTTTTTTGGTCTAAATTAAATTTAATCATTCATTTGTGTGGCTGAGTATAATGTATGTTGTATTGAGGTATGCTGTGATTTGATGCTATTCTGCCTTGGGGGAGCTTTGAATTGTAGGGAATTAGATGCGACCCCTCCCATTTGCCATTTGGGAATTGATATTGCACGCTTTCTGATTTTTGCTTTGTCCGTTTGACAAAATTTTCCTTGGCCTTAGAAACGTAGATTGTAGAGTTACTAATCCTTTGTTGTGTTTGGTCGCTAAGATAAATTTGAATCATAGTCATTTGCTTGTGTATAATGGCATGTGTAATTTTGAGGCGCTAGTGAGGATCCATATTGCTGGGTTGACTCTGAAATTGTAAGATATTAGATGTCGACCATTGGTCTGGATGACTTTGGAGCTTCTGATTTTTGCTTTAAAATCTGAGTTATGAGAAATAGCTGTTGGTCCTTAAGCACCGTGGAATATGATGGTAACTCTCCTTTGTTTTGTTGTCTAAAGTTAAATTTAAATCATCCATCATCTTTTGTGTTGTGTATTGTGCATTTGTATTTTGGAGGCTCTGATAGATAACCACTGAATGCTGGTGACCTGTTGATTGTTAGGAATGAGATTGCGACATATTTGGAGGAATGAATTTATGAGCTTTCTGTTTGCTTTGTCTGTTTGACAAAATCTCTTGGCCCTAGCCGTTGGGTGAGTGACGATGTTATCCTTTGTCGAGGTTGCGCTCTAAATTAATTTACATCGGAATATCAGTGTGTTAGTGTAGGGTGTCACGTGTACGGTATTATTGAGGCTGTAGAATGATGATTCCATATTGCTGGGTGGAACCTCGTACTACACCTATAGATTATGTAGGGATAAGGATGCGCAATTGGCTGGGAGTGACTTTGATAGCTCTGTAATTTAGCCATTTGTTTTGTACAAAATAGCTGCTTGCCCACTGCAGACAACTGTTGGAATATTATGTTACTAATCCTTTGTTTTGTTTGGTTCTAGAGCAATATAAATTTGACAATCGAAAAATAATCAAGTGTATTGTGTAGTGTGCATTAGTAGTAATTTGAGAGCTATGATGATGATACCATTGGCGCACGGGTAGAACTGGGTTACTACTTGATTGAACGGCGAATAGAATGTGACCATTGGCTGGAATGACTTTTGAGCTTTCTGATTTTGCTTTGTCTGCTTTGACAATAGGCTGTTAGCCTTAAGTCCGGAAGATGAATGTATACTATCCTTCGTATCGTTTAGGTTCTAAATTAAATTTTAAATTACAAATATGTTCTGTTTTGTGTAAATGTGTCATAGGTGGTTTTTGAATGTATTGAATACCATTAGCCTGGTGTGACTTTGTGGTTTTTGTAGGGAATAAGAATGCGACCAATTGTGGATATTTTTGTGAGACTTCTGATTTTGCCTGTCTAGTAAATACGTCGTCGCGCTTAAGCCGAGTGGATGTATGTTACTAATCCATTGTTTGGGTCTAATTTATAAATTTTAAATTCATGTCATTTGTTTAGATGGTATGTTGGAAGGCTAGTGACTGAATAAACCAGTATTATTCTGAGAGTGCATATGTGATTTGTAGGGATTAGATGATAAATTGAGGGGGGAAAATAGACTTTGAGCATTTACTTGATCTTGGATTTTGCTTTGTCTGTTTGACAAATATCTGTTGGCCTTAGCCGTGGATGTGATGTTACTATCCTTTGTTTGTTGGTCTAAATTAATTTAAATCATATCATTTGTTTGTGTATTTGAGGCTGTCATGATACCATTTTCTAGGTGACTTTGATTGTAGGGAGAAGATGCGACCATTGGGGGAATGACTTTGAGCTTCTGATTTTGCTTTGTCTGTTTGACAAATGGCTCTTGGCCTTAGCTGTGGATGTGGTGTTACTATCCTTTGTTTGTTTGGTCTAAATTAATTTAAATCATATAATTTGATTTAGTCATGTTAAATTTTACATTGTAGTTGACACCGAACATGAAAATTCAATATTAAAAAATCAAATTTGTGAGTTTATATATATATATTGAACTTCTTTTCCAATATGTTGCACTAAGATTGTCAATTTTGGTCCGTGTGAGAGTAGAAGGCCAACTGTGAGAATGAAGTTATAATTTATGAAGAATGTTTGGCAATAAAATTAATTAAAATCATATAATTTGATTTAGTCATGTAAAATTTTACATTGTAGTTTGATACCGAACGATGAAATTCAATATTAAAAAATCAAATATTTGTGAGTGTTATATATATCATAAGAATATATATATATAGTTTATATATATATAATATAGTACTATTACTAGTTTATATTGAACTTTTTTTCAATAATGCTTGGCACTTAAGAATTGTCAATTTCGGTTCCGGTGTGAGAGTAGAAGGCCAACGCTGCAGAATGAAGTTGTATTTATGAAGAACTTGTCGTGGTAGGCATCCTTCTTGATGCTTTTTGATGTATACAATTGGAGTGGGATGCTAGTTTTATCGTTCTGTTTTGATCTATAGTACATAAACAAATAGCAAGGCAGTGTATCATACTTCAGCTATGTGTCTTCTAATGATTCTGCTTTCGTTTAAAATATTTTTAATGCATTTGCTTCACAGTCCTTTCGAGCCTGAGTCATCTATGATAGTTTTAGACTCTCTGATTTTGTCACACTGGTCCTGTGGAATCCCAACTTAGTAGTTTACTTTGATTGTGAACTTGTATACTCTTAATTAATTGTAACTTCCTTGAATAGTGTTTCTGGCCGAGCATCGACGCAACTTGTATTTTGACAACTAAAGGCTGTCTGCTTACCCTTGTTAATTTTTTCTTGTTATGCTTTATGATAGCCGTAAAAAGGTAACATAACAGGTACTTCATTCTTTTCATGCTCGCACTTTGATTTTGCAGCATTTTTATTTTGTCATTCTGGCTTTCATTTGCTAGCATGTGCGAACGGAGAATTAGTAACTAAGTTGTTTGAGTTTGCAATTCTGAGTCCTTTGAAGTTTGCTTTGGCAGGCTGGAATGCTTGTTCCGCTCTTTGACATGATTGTTTGTAATGAATTTTGGTAGTTTTTTTTTTAGGATCTTGTTTCTTCCCTTTAACATTCAGCTGCTGTTTATGGATAGATCTTTGAAAATTGCCTATTGATTATTTTTTTATTTGTTTGAGTTGAATTCTAGCAACTTTGAAAGATAAGTTGATACAAACAATGTGCTTATATAGGGTTTGCTGCAACTTATGCTGGAATATCTTTCAGCATTTGAAGCCAGACATGGATGATTGGTTTTTTCGTAAAATGAGATGGATTTTTATTTGTTTGTTGGTTGGAAAATTGTTAGATGTCAATGTTTGTTTGAAGAATAATTTCTTTTATTTTATTTAGAATTTACTGGAAAAAATTGTTTCAATTTGGAGATATAGCAAATGATATAAGGAGATATAGCAAATGATATAATTTCTCACTAGCTTGGTGGTTTTGCTGGTGTCGTTGTGAGTTTGAATCTTTGGAGTTTATAATTAGTAAAAAAATACTGATACCAGATATTCAAATATAACATTATCGTAATAAAAAAATTTCCCGAAAATAACAAATAAAACGTCATTTATACACGTTGGTAGATTTCTTGAAGGGCCTAAGTTGAGCCTGGCTTATCAGTCTTACGTATTATCAAAATCAATTAATTATATAAATCATGGCTCTTCTTCACCTTCTTGTAGCTGTAGGTTGGTCTCTGACTCTCTGCTGTCCTTCATCAAAAAGTTGGCTCTGCTCTGTTTCTCTCCACCTTTTTGATGCGTTTATCCTTCGACTGAAAAAACAAGGGCAAGTAGCAGAATATTTTCGTCAAACGCCTAATCTTTTGCAAGTTATTACGATTTTGCCAACACATAACATGCAATGGACAAAGATACCTTTGCTCTCAGAATATGCAAGGCCATCACTAGTTTAAGAATATGCAAGGCCACATGGACTAATGATGTTCTTAAGAATGTGGCTTTGCTCTCAGAGAGATGGCCCAGTATGGCGGTTGCTCCTCTGTGAACGACTGCGGAGCTGATGATTTTACCGTCGGTTTATAAAACAATCGCGTATGTGTACGTATATATATTGTCAATTATTACTCCCTCTGTTCCATTAATACTATATTACCGGCGTAACTTGATCGGAGATCTGATACGTTCAATCTCTGCCAAGGTTCTGTTGCTGCTTACAAAGAAGCTATGACGATTCTTATTTTCTAGTGCAAGATCCAAACGTTAAAGGAACAATTTGTGCAAGATCCCAAACGTTAAAGGAAAAATACTATATTACCGGCGTAACTTGATCGGAGATCTGATACGTTCAATCTCTGCCAAGGTTCTGTTGCTGCTTACAAAGAAGCTATGACGATTCTTATTTTCTAGTGCAAGATCCAAACGTTAAAGGAACAATTTTGATTGTTTGTCGGGGCAATGTGAATATTTTCTATCTTTTGCAGATAGATCCATCATTGCAGCCACATTCGCTTTGTTCCTTTTGCTGTTTGATTAAAGGCGAATCTCAGCCTCACTTCACCTCTTCTTTCTCTGTTTTTTGTACAGTGGAAATTTTAGCTCATTAGTTTGAGAATGAGGTTTTGCTCTCAGTGAGATTGAAGGTTTTAAGGGCGGTTGACTTTGTCTCTCTTGTAAAAAGTGGAGCCTGTGATTTATCTTCTTATTTGCCAACGGCTCCTTCTCCCTGTACATACAGAGAGGCCAAATGCATAAATCTACCCTCAACTTTGCACTTCTACCCTTTGTTTGGATGGAATGGTTGGAAGTTTAAGTAACTTAATGAGGCTATGATGATATTATCAGTGGCCTAAAATCAGATTAGAAAAGAAACATCCATGCTCTGGCGGGGTAGGCTTTTGAAGCAGCGGCTTAACTCTCCACTCGTGGTTCCTGAACTTAGACAGCCTTTGGCAGTCCTTAAATATGGGTTTCACCCTATTTTCCTGGTAGCTATTGGCTGCAGCCATGATGTGGTGTTGTTTCTTTCTTGTTTGATAATAGGGCTATCTGATCTCAGCCTCCATTTCACCAAATATCTTTGTTTAGGTTCTGTTTGTTTCGGGGAGATATTTCAAGTGAAAAGTGAGGCTTAGCTCTTGGAGAGCTACTCTGATTGATTGCAGAACTGACCCTTGTTTGTCAATATCTATACCTATCTTTTTCTATCATCTCTTTCTTTGTCTTGTGGGTCTTTGCATGGCTGTGATGATGCTGTTATTTTTTTTTTTCTATCATCTATTTCTTTGTCTTGTGGGGCTCTTGCATGGCTGTGATGTATGCGGTTATTTTTTTTAATGAAATCGGTCAATTGGATGATATACACTAGGCAACTAAATTGGGTGGGTGACTCAAAGGAGCTTCTGATTTTGAGCTCTATCTTGTTTGCAGCCATAGGTTGGTTTGCGTCAATGTTACAGCTAGAGTTATCTTATGCTTGAAAAAGAGCGTAATCTGAGCCTCCTTTAATCATGCTTATATCAGTGATCACTGTGTAAGATTTTATGATTTGTGATAAACATTGACTGGTACGTGGAACAAGGTTTGTGCGATAATTTCGTACTCTGATTGAGCAATGCTGTTTGGGATAGTGCGTTGAATTTGGTTTTATTAAGAACCATCGTTTTGGCCAAATTGGTCCGATTTTTAAGTCTGTGGTTCCAATGATAGTGGTCTCAATGCAAGTTTTTAGAAGAGGTGGATTGGATCACGCCGCGATACAAAAAAAAAAAATACACACACATAATCAACCGTCATTCTATACTAGCGAGTCAAAAAAAAAAAAAAAAAAAAAAAAAAAAATCCAAGGCATTTATGCGGTCAAGTAATGAGAATTGCTGTAGCAGGTATCGTTCTTTGATGCTTTTAATGTATCAATCGACTGTCAAGTGAATAGGATGCATTTTATTGTATTGTGTGGTAGTGGTGATCCCAAAAGTACAAATTTTGAGATTGAGAAGTAATTGAGAAAGCTGCTTTTTAATTATATCTTTTAGTCAAAACTAAGAAAAAATGCTACTCATGGCTTAGGGTCTTAATGTCAAAGCATTATGTTAAAGTATGTGCAAAAAATTTGATGCATTCTAAAATGAGGTTTATGAGATTATATGCATTTTTCTCCAATCAAGAGGCATTGTTGGACAAAGTTGAGAAAGGTCAAAATGAAAACAAAACAAAGGACTCACCAACAGCTGGTATGCATATCATCTTTCTATCTTCTCTTTCTCTCTCTTGCGTGTCTTTGCATGGCTGAGATGATCCTATTATTTTTAAGTGAAAATTAGACAATTGAATAAACACTGGCGAACTTTGGTGGGTGATTCGTGAGCTTCTGAATATTCAAGGTTCACTTTAATTTTACATTCGTTGAATATTGTCGGTAGCATTTGTCAATTTTAGTCTGGTTCAAGAACTATCAATTCAAGTTTTAGAGAGATGAAAAGACAATTAAAAAAATACGAGGGAATTATGCTCTGTACCAAGTATCATAGAAAATGATACCGGTAAAGATAAACTTTTTTCTTAAACTCGGTGGTGATCTACCTTGACGCAACCACATGGTCAAGTATTTTGAATTAACTGCAGTTAAGACAACATTGGTCAGCTTTGATTTTTTTGTTTTTTTTCACTCTATGGTCAGCTTTGATTTTTTTTTTTTTTTTTCACTCTTATACACATCTCTTTATTGAAAGATGTCACTTTTGGCCAAATTGCACGTGAGATGTTCCATTATGTCGATGGAAGTGAAATTTTTCTTTCTAGCCGTGATATATTTATTATTCGAAGAGAACCGTCTTTCGGGGGAATTTTTTTAAATTTTTGTTGGGACCCAAATGACTCATGAGTGATAAACTATGCAGATTTGTGTCGTAGGTTATTGGGTAGTTTTTGTAATTTTTTTCCTCGTCAAGGGCAGAGGTAAGAAATGGCATAAATTATCATTGTCCTTGAGTTGATTGAGCACTTAAAAAAAAAAAAAATCATTAAAAAGAAGATATGATTTTTCCAGAGAGAAGCGTATAGGTAAGGCCTTAGAGAGCAACTTTCTGTATGCAATGTGAAGGGAGAGTGACGGTATTCGACAAAATGAGTTAATAAAATTAACTGTAGTTATATTATAATTTCGATAGTCAACTTAGTTTATACTTAGTAAAGTAACTATAGTTACTACAGTAAATAGTATAATTAATTATATTTAAGTAAACTAATTATTTAGTAATTTTACGCAGTCTTCTTAATCTTGGAGACCTAATTAGTAGTCTGCTTAGTTTATGAGCTTAGTTAATTTGCAATGTTAGAGGGTCTCTATGTACTTAATGCCTATTATTAATAATGGCTTAGTTAATTTGCAATGTTAGAGGGTCTCTATGTACTTAATGCCTATTATTAATAATAGTTAATAGTGTACTTGGGAGTTTATGAGCTTAATAAGTCAACTATAGTTAGTAATTTTAGATAGTCTTCTTCAACGTAGAGACTTAGATTAGATATACATGTACAAACTATATGCGACTAAAATTATAATTTTTTAAATCAAAATTTAAATTTTATATAATATTTTTCACTTTTATATACCAAAAAAATACATATTCAAAATTTAATTCAAAAGCTTTTAATAGCTATTCAAAGTCATATGTATTTGATGGTATAATTTTTCTGAATTTATTTTTCATATTTTGCATGATGTTTTTTTTTTTTTTCCTTGTTTACCAGATAAATGTGGAATGTTAATTTTTTTTTTGTTCAAATCGCCTAAACCGCAAAACCGAACCAAATTAAACTGCTGCTAAAGGATTTGGATTGGTTTGAAATTTTTGATGATTTGATTTGATTTATTTGGTTATTAGTTTCTCAAACCGTATTTTAAGTTTGATTTCCATTGTTATTGTTCAAATACGAGTTAAAGCGACTAACGAACTTGCCCCTACTATTTCTTCATCGTTGCGTTTTTTCTTTTTTTAACATAAGGTAAGAGCAGTCTTGTCTTTTATTTATGTTTTCCATCATTTCACCAATTTTTCCTCACAATGGACTTCTTCTGCCTCCCTCCAATGTGACAATCTAACATTTTGTTCTTTTTTCTTTTTTTTTTTTCTTTTTGAATTAAATTTTTCAGAACATTACAGCATCTTCAGATTAAACAATTAATAATAACCCACTCTTTTAGAGTTCTTGAGTCTTCTACTAATACTTAAAATAGAAATGTTTGATCTTGATCCTTAAAGTTCACTGACAGCCTATTTTGAAATTAATAGTCTTTTTATATTTATTTCTTTCCAGACCATTTAAAAAAAATTCCTAGAGAACAAATTCAAATTAACTACTGGAACGCTTCCTTACTTAATGGGTTCCTATATGAGGTATTCTTTTGTTTTTAATTTTTTAATTAATGAGATTTTTTAATTTATTTCATTTTTATCATCTTTGATTCTTTCACTCAATATCAAATTTAAAGAAACATTGTCATTATTTTCATTGTCCGTTTTGATAAATTGAATTTTCATTGTCCGTTTTGAGAAATTGATTGCTAAAATATTAAGCTTTTATTATTCAACAAACCATGAAGTTTTTAAAATTATGATTCCATTAACACTTTAATCTCCCTTTTAAATTATGAAGTTTTTATAATGATTTTAATGTATTTTTTTTTTCATGGTATCATGTTGATGGCAAAGTGGCTGAGCCTTTTGCTCTTTATAAATATATCTATATTATATTTAAATGTAAGAATAGGGGAGTTTTTTGCTCTTCATAAATATATCTATATCTATATAAATGTGGGAATAGAGGATTAATGAGAATTTCAATAACGCCTTTAATGAAATTTAGAATATTTTAGTCTAATTAGAAAATTACATTTTATTAATTGATTAGATAAAATTTATAATTATATATAATTTTTTCTCATTCATTGAACTTTAATCTATCGTCTTAATTTTGTTCATCAACATCTTATCTCTTATTCAACGAGATTCTATATACTCTATTCCTATTTATTAAGAGATTCTATATATCCTCATTTCGCAAAACACTAGCATGATTTATTGCAATAAATAGATGATTAAGTATTTTTAATTTTTTAAATATTTTTTTCTCTTATATTCTAAATCTGTTTGATTTGAAAGAAAATAGTATTTATGCATTTTAAAAAAAAAACTATATTTCTGATTTGAGTTATCTTTTAGGGTGTTAAGAATTTATTATGTGCATATTTTTTTTCTAACGCACTAGAT